GGGTTCTTGTTTTAAGAGTGTACGTTTGTTTTCTGTTTTTAAAATGAATCTTTTTTTGTTTTTTTTCTTTTTAAAAACCTAACCCTTTAAAGGCTATTTAATTTTGAAAAAAAGAAAGACAAAAAAAAAACTAATTCTAAAAAAAGCACCCGGGGGTTTTTTTTTGGGGTTTGGGGGGGGGAAGGGGGGGGGGGGGGGTGCGGGGGGCTTACTAGAGAGGCGGAAAGTAATTGAGAGAGTGCATAGTTACAATAATTACAAGTGGGGTTTGGTTTACTAAAAGTAGTCACACAAGGCTGAAGGTTCTCAGCTGCTGTGGGTCATGAGTATCAAATCATAATCAAGTGTCACTTGAGCTATATATATTAACGCCAATAATCGATCTATTCGCTACGTAACGTAATGTAACAATTACCTCCTCAAATTCATTAGAGTCGCGGCAATTCTTCATCAGTTCACTCAGAACGAAACCGAACTGAAGTATATTCTTTCCTAAAATGTCCTTCACCGAGTGACCGTTTAAAATACATTCAGGAAAATCCTGAGAAACCCGCTGAGCGAAGCCAAAACTTCCCAAGAAAGCAGTTATTGGAGGCACCTAGCAGAAAGTAAAAAGATCGTTTCTAGAGCTCTAAGCAAAATGGAAAGATATAAAGTATTTGAGGTTTCCTTTAACACTGTCCGTATGTATTTTGATGAAAATTCCTCGGCTCCGTCTCCTGGACCTTAGATACGTTTGGACACGTGACTTGATTGCGTCACAGCTTGCAAATTTTGTCATTATGTTTTAATGTTATGTCTGTCATGTTGGAAAAGTCATAAAATCAACAAAAAGATACTAGATACTAAAATCTTAGTAAATAAACAAATTAATGACTTAAGGAGTTTATGATATTTTAAGGTATCTTAATTGCGCCATTTGGCTCGAACAGATAAAACACTTTCCACATGCTTAACTGATCTCTGAAGGAACCTCTAAAGGAATCTGTCAACCTGGATAACATATTACGAAGGTTGGTATGCAGAAAAATTGGGAAAAAGCGCGAAGCAAAGTACAAACTTAAGCCTTTCCGGGCTCTTGAGTCGGAACGCGTGGTTGATTACTTACAAAACCTAGCGCGCAAGCGCATGCATGACGCATACATAAGGCGATAAAGCAAAACAAGGACGCCCTACACTAATGCTTTAAAATTACCCTGAATCCTCTGCCAATCAATACACTGGAGGTTGTTATGTTGTTATGGACCACGCCTTTCTGTTCCAAGTGCTGTATAGCGGAGATCAAGTCAATAGCCACAGCGATAAGGGAGTCCAGATTAAAAATAATCCTGTTACTTTTGAAATACTCCTCCAAAGTCGTGTTTGCAGAAAAGTCGTAACACAGCAAACTATGAATTGGAGAAACAGGAGGGAAAAGAAGAAAAAAAAGAAGAATGGGGTACTAAAAACGTTTTGGTTGACTCATATATTTTTGGAAGCTGGGTATTTCAGAAGACACACACAGCAGACAGTTATAAGCTTAAGACTTTTAGTTTCTTCTTATGTCAATGAACCGTAAAAATAACCATTGAGAAATGAAAAAAAAATAGCAGTCTAATTTTACTTAAAAACCTCAAATAAATGAACAAATCAAAGATAGACAAACAAAAGTCGAAGTTTTGTTTAAGACCACCACTTGAAGCTGTTTATAAAAATATCTAACAATCCCGTAAACAATACAGCCATTTACACGTACAAATCACATCTATACAGTTCATCGGTTAAAAAATCTGACTAAATCTGACTAGGCTAAAAGGAAAGGATGGTTTTAATTACAATGAACTTTTCTTGAATCTTGGAAATCCTGCTTTCTTGTAGTTAACAACACACTTTTCGGCTGCAAAAAGTAAAAGAAACCTTAAAATGATGAATAGTCTTTTCTTTCTGACAATCAGCTGATGGAATTACAGCTATGTAGTAGTAATAAGAGCTATGCTAAGCTATGCATAAGAGTTTAATCCACATCAAAGCAACCTTTATAGTATTGCTATTAGGCCGAACCTTTCAAATGACATTGTTCCAGGATTGCATTATTCTAATATGAAAGGGCTCGGAGTTGAATGATGCAAGCAACGCCGTTGACCGAATGACAGGGCAATTTTTTTTATAAGAGTAGGACAGCTTTAATAGGAGCTTCAATATCCCGCGAGCAACGCTAAAGAGCAGGCTCTTGTATCTGTCAAAATAATACCAGGAAACGTCTTACTCACTCTTAAAATAATATAAATCAGATCCAAGGAAACTATGGAAACAAACCCTAAAGGTTGGCAACCCAAAAATAAGAATCATCAACATCTTCAGCTAGCGATCAGAGGTCCATTTCTGATAGAGTAAAGATAGGAAACCACAGGAAACCACTGTACAGTAATATAAAAGACCACATAACCTCCCAGTGAAAAAAAAGCGGCAAGCAAACATTTGCTCAATCCGCACCACGAATCCTTCAAAACAGACCTTACCCGACAAAATGAAAGAGCAAGCGACGAATTAGCAAGGGGTGTAAATGCCTTGTAGGCATACCAAATCCCCTTTTTCATACTCTTACACGAAGTCAACTCTTCACCCTATTTTCAATTTTACTCCACAATCAGTGAATTAGAATTGAAAAATACTATTAGTTCACTTTGTCTTAAATCGTTGGTAAACAAAAAAGTTGACCTCTGGGGCCTGTGAGGGGGAAGGGGGGGGATGGGCGAGCACACCCGTCGCATCCCCTCCCTTCCCTACGGACCTGGCGTTAAGTTAGGAATTCAAGCCGCATACTAACTAAAATGCTTTCGATAATACATTTTCTTACGTCGTGATTTATTCAACAGTGAAATAAGGGAAACTATCTGTTATCTACGTACTTGCAGAGTGCCAGCAGTATTTGATTATATTGGGATGCTCCAGTTCCTGCCTAAGCTCTTTTGCTAACTCCACTTCCTTTTTCCAGTCCTCTTCTTTTATCTTTGAGAAGTGCTTGATTAGTCGAACACACGCGTTCTTTTTACTTCCGGACCAAGCCACAACAAATCCTTGCAAAACAAAATGAAAACTCAAAAATGAGATTTTCGTGAACATTGTGAACACCAACGTCGCTACGGTGGGATATTGTCACTACAAAAATGCCTAAAATTACCAAAAATGCACCTTTTAAAAAGTTTCAGACCAAATTTGACTCAAGATTAGGACTTCAATAAAAGGTACTTTTATTATTCGTCAGTCATGGGATATTTGTTACGAAAGGTAGCAGACGCGACGGAAACCTAGTGAAAGTGAGAATTGCGATGCCTTAAACGCAACTCAGCCCTGATGATTATCGCATGGTCTTTTATATCATAGCAAAATTACAGGTCTTACACTCCATATACGACTGAGTGTTAATTCGGATATTAGTAATGTTATTCACTTAGAAAACACTTATGGACAGACAATAGTAGTGAAGTGGGGCTGTTTAGTCCCCTTTTTGCGCGAGATTACATTAACTTCGACGACGTTATGGATTAAATGCCAAGGAATTTCATTAAAAATCGGGTGATGTCTTGTTCCGTTGAGTGATATTGATGGTGGTGGTTGTGTTAGAGTAAACAATAAAGATGTACTGTTAATAAAACCAATAGGCCTTTTTTTTTAAATTTACATGTCAAAAATCAATCAACCACACCAAGGATACAAATCATTGTTCAGTTTTAGGTAACTAACAAAATATATTAACTTTCTCTCAACCAATCAAAGTATGTAACGTCGCCTTTGCAAGAACAGCGAATCATACCAGACCACAGGACTTTATGTCATTGACATTTACGTATTTATTCACAATTTCACAAGATTTCTGCGCAAGAAAGGGGAATACAACATTCCTATATACTACCTGAAGATACTGGACGACCCAACAATATAACGGTTTAGAAATGCTGATATGCAGTTGAAACGCTTTTGCAATCCTTTCAAAGGATCATCACTCCTTCCTATTAGGCCTTTTCTTAAAACGTTTCTACTACAAAATTGTATCACAACACCTACCACTGACAAAGAGGTTTCATCCGAAAATACGTTTGGTATTTCTACCAGCTTCAGCTCTGTCTCGGGTCCCTCGCTTTCTCGAATCTCGTCTAGTTGAAGGCTGGAACCGTTCGGATTCGAGGACAAGCTCAAACTGGATACAAGAGTCGTCTGGGACTCACTTGGTACAACAGTGTTAAGGCGCAACATGATGCCTTTGCTTTCTGACACTAACAAAAAGAAATGATGACCAACGGCACAAGTTCTTTTCTGTTGATATTTTTTTTTTCTGCTGTCAGTTTTTTCAGTGATTTTTTTTGTAGACTTGTTTCAAAAGAACCTTGCATCCTTTAGAATTGAATACACACCCACCAAAGGGAAACAGATTTTTACGTACGAAACATGTAGACAAACAGAAGAATAATTTCCACTTTATTCAGACATACAATAGCAGCAAAGTAGAACATTAAGGGAGAAAAAAATTTAATACTTTTATGCTGGACGTCAGCTTGGTCGAAGGGATTCATGACATTTCGTTCAGATTTATGTGTCTAAGGGTAATATGACCTAGAATGTTTTATTGTGGGCAACTGAAAACTTGTCCTATCGTCGCTGATTTCTGTTTTCAGCCATTGTTTTTAGCCGTTCATGCTCATAAACAGGACGTACCTTTATCTCTCTAACTAGCCTCCCGGTGGGGAGCATATTTTTTTCAATTGTTACTATTTGGGGGGAGGGAAGGTCTTGTTTAAAACTAGAGAAGTATAAGAAGTAACCCTAGGTAATAAATTGAATACCACCGAGGACATGACTGGAAAACTCAGCGAGGAGGTTAATAAGAGCTTTAGGAAAGGTGTTTTTGAAGGACGGACGCAACCGGAAGTGAGATCTTTTCCTTTTAATATTCCTTAACGCTAACATATGTGTATTGCTAAATGTCTTTTGTCTTACAGAGATGATCTGTCCCAGGATTTGAGCAAAACCACTCTACTACCCAAGAATAATAAAAAAGTCCACTTCCGGTTGACGTCACTTCCGGTTGACGTGCGTCGCTCTAAAACACCTTTGCTTAAGGTCCCTGATAACACACCTGGGTTTCTCTTCCGCCGCCATACTGTTCTTTCCAAGAAGGAGGTAAGTGAATCCGTGTGTTCACCTACTTTTCTTTTCACGAGTGGAGTAGAAAATGTGTATAATATTGGATTGAGAG